CTTGGAGGTGAACATCCAGAATCTCTTTACTATTTTCTGCTTTATATAATAACTGCTTTAAATAGAACTTATTAATAAGAGAACTACATACTTCTAAGCTTGTATCTTCCATTACAAACAAATTATACGGGAATGGGTGTGGCTTTATCATGAGCCATACAATAAAGGTGTTCTTTTAATAGAACATCGAGTTCTGGCCAGTGACTTTATAACCCTTGATTGGGTATTCCCTGGCCATGTACAACTGAGACATCGGAGCCACCTGACTGGAATAAAACACTGACTCTTCAACTTGTTCGGTTACATCGAATGGGTTGTCATTCGCTTCCATTTTGAAGACTTGATTTCCCTCCCAGAACATTAACTGTTGGTGCAAGGTTGATGGCACACATTGAGAGGCATGAATCCAATCTCGTCCCAGCAAAAGAGAGTATGTAGTATCTGCGTCCACAATAAAGAAAACAGTGGAAATTTTCTTTGGTCCGACCTCAATTGTGGCAACCATCATACCTTCAGGCTTGGTCGGCTGCCCTGTAAAACTTGTCATTTCGAATTCCACAGGGGACAGATCATGAATTCCTTTCCCTAGCTTCTTGAGAGTCTTCAATGGCATAACATTAAAGACTGCTCCATTATCCACGAACACCTTTGTGATTGGTTTCCCACAAATGTGAGCATTAACATACAGCGGTTTCAAATGGGAGTTCGCACCCTCTGGAATAGGAGGAAAGACAATTGAAGGTGCTTCCGACTGAGGCTCAGAATCTGTAATCTTTGCCAACTCTGTTTCCTCTAATTCGTCATCTGCCAAGAATGCCCATAAAGGTTCGTCCATAGTATCATCTACCAGACTCGCCCACGTCGGTTCATCACTCATCTGGTTAATCTCTGTCATTCGACAAGGGATTCGTGGTCCCAGACGAGATTTAACAGATCTTGAATTTTCCTCTGTAGGCACCACTTCTTCCTTCGTCTCATTTCGAGATTGAACCGTCAAGGATTCAATACGAAATTCTTCCAGAGATGGATTGATGTTGATCCGTTCACAATGTTGGCATCTAAAACCTTTAATTATTTCATCTGCCATTCCTTTACCTTTCCCCTGTCCCGACGAACTTCTTTTGGTATAGTCGGAAGCTCCTAATCCGTCCTTCGGTTGCTTTCCTGACCAGACCCGACTGGACCGACTTATTGGAGACTGAATGGCCGCTCCCTGCTCGTCGGTCGTTTGTTCTGCAAAGACTCTAATGAACTGATCTCCTGTCAAGTGGTCGGCTGCATTTTGTTCGTCGGTTCTTTGTTGTACTGCAGGAACTCGTTTCCCATACTTTGCAGCATACCTGCGTTTGGCATTGCGAATCTGTGTACGATTCATACCTGGGAAACGAGGATCTATATCAACGGGTAAAGGCTTTTTATTTCGAGCCCAATCGTTCCCGACTGAACCCGTTTTTCTGGTCGGGTGGTCTCGCACTAAAACCTTTTCCTTCACTTCCACATTAAAAGAACCGTCTGGACGGTCCCATTTTTCAGCGACTGGCCTTTCAACAACTTTGAGTCGTTCTTCCGTTCGGCTGCTGTTTGGCTGATTCCCTTTCTTTTTTCTGGGACTTGCCTGAGTTTGCTCCCCTGTTTGTCCACTATTGACCGAACTTTTCCCTGTTTCCGAACTTGGTTGGATGTCAACCATTGCCGTTGTTACTTTCGGAAATGGTTGCTGGTCTACACCTAAAGTGATGTATTTGAGCCGACCTGTCTTGATGGCCTTTTGAATTTCCTTCCTAAAATGAGTACACTGACTTGTAGTGTGTGTGAAAGAATTATGCCACTTACAATATGGTCTCCCTTTGATTTCTTCTTTAGTGGCAAGTCTTTGGCCCTTTGGAATACGGATCTGCCCGTCAGTCAGTAGAATATCAAAGATTTCATCAGCTTTCGAACTATCAAAGGTCGGCTGCTCCTTTCCTTCAGATCCTGGTATTGGCTTCAATTTAGGACATACATACGGTTTTCCAGAAAGGATTTCGGCTGCCATCTCTTCTGACTGATTAAAATCAAAGTCGCATGTTTCTGTTCCCATACTCGCCATATGTTGGCCTCTATTACGCCTGTTATGCTGATCTTCCTCTCTGAACAAAGACTCTAGACGTCCTGCCTTGGATGCAAGACTTGCCAAATCCTCAACATCCAGGGCAGTGAGTGCCTTTCTTAAACGATTATGCATATTCCGGACCACTAAATTGGTCATCTCTTTCTCACTGATTACCGTAGGACATCGTCCCTTCATCAATCGTACCCTTTCTATAAACTGTGAAGCAGTTTCTTCTGGATACTGTCTCAATTCAAGTAAATCAGTTAAAGACACAACTGGTAAAGGATTGAAGAATCTAGCGTGAAATGCCATCTCCAGTCCTTCCCATGTCTGAATTTGTCCAGGAGGTAGGCTTACAAACCATGAAAACGCCGTTCTGGTAAGGGACAAACCAAACAGCTGTAACTTATAAAAAGGGTTATTGCCAACTTCTCCTAATTGTGCTGTGAACCGACCAACATGTTCTATGGTGGAAGATCCGTCCTCCCCTGAGAATGCATGAAAGTCGGGTGGTCGAAAATTCCTTGGGAGAGGGTGTTCATGAATGATCCTTTCTGGGAAAGGTCTTTGATATGCAGGGCGGTTAGCCATCTGAGGAGTTAATCCATACTGATCCCTTAATATATGTGCAATCTCATCAGGATCTACATGAAAGCGTTGATGATCAGGAACCTGGAACGGGTCCTGCACAGGAATATGAATCGGATCATGTATATATCCTTCAGGCCTGTCCTCCCGTGTATTGTTCGGTTGCGAATTGGTAACCCTTGGTCCCAGTGGAACATTGTTGGGAAAAGTCAAAGGAGTTTTTCCCCGATCCATTCGGTTGGGATTTGTGGCACTTGGGAATGTACTATCCACGAATGATGGCCCTGCGAAATTTGCCTGTGGTCCGGACGGTGACACTCCTGGTGGCGTTTGAGTGGGTTGAAGACTAACCCTTGACAATGCTTGATCTATCATGTTCTGCAACTGACTCTGTTGCTCACGCAACATGTTCGTTTGTTGCTCACGCAACATATTCTGCATAACCAAGGTATGCTGGTTGTTCATTTGTTGAACATAAGACCACCAATCAGTTGGTGGTTGTGGGATTTCCCCGGCATTTGGCACAATGGGTGGTGGAACGGATTCTCCCACCGGTGTCGAAGATGCTTGCGGTTGTGACCCTGCCATAACCCTTCCGATGATTCGGCCGGATCTAAGACGTATGAAATTATCGCCGGAATTGGGATGAGCAATTTTGTCTTGCTCCCACTGTGGTCGCCAATTTGTTGATGTATTTTTTCAACAAAAATAAAGTAAAATTCAAAGACATAGAAAATATCCTTAAACTTGATTAATTAGTGCCTGAGATTAGGAATCTCTAAACACTGTAACGTACAGAAACTAAACTGGAAAATAAAATACTGAAATTTAAAGTGGTGATCCCCAAATCTGACTTTGCTTTGTTGAAGTTGATTGAAGATGCCTTGCCAAATGATGATCCAAATCCTTAAATATTCCCTGGGAAACCGTACTGAAAACCGTCACCCGAACGGTTACAACGTCTCCTTCTCAACCGTCTTCCAACCTTTCTTATGCTGACACGTGTCCCCAGCAGACCAAAAATCCCTATATTTCACTCCTTGAGCCAACTACAGACCTTCCGCTCTTTTGGCCCGACTTCGTCCTTCGTCCGACCTACTTCTTCGCCCGACCCCACTTGGGCCGACCTCCATATCAACCGCCCCCTATATTTGATCAAAGGCCTCCGTGTTTGTCCGACTCCTCCTTCTATCCGACCTACAGTTTACCCGACCTGCGGATATCCCATCTCAACGACTTTCTGTCTCGAGGATCTCCCGACTTGAAAACCTTCCGACTTGAGGTCTTTCCGTCTTGCGGACCTCCCGACCGGAAGACCTTCCGACTTGAGGTCTTTCCGTCTTGCGGATCTCCCGACCTGAAGACCGTCCGACTTGAGGTCTTTCATCTTGAGGGCCTCCCGACCTGAAGACCTCCCGACTTGAGGTCTTCCCGTCTTGCGGACCTCTCGACCTGAAGACCTTCCGACTTGAGGTCTTTCCGTCTTGCGGACCTCCCGACCTGAAGACCTTCCGACTTGAGGTCTTTCCGTCTTGAGGACCTACCGACCTGAGGTCCTTCCGTCCTGTATTTTCCTTAGAAATAAATAAATAAATTTATTTTCCTTGATTTCCTCACGGTGTCCTTCAGCCAGTTCAATCAACCCTATTGTCAGGCCCATTCTTCTTTTTACCTTGGGCTTTTAACCTAATTCTAAATTTCGTACGTAACACAAATTAATATATTTGTAATGTTATATATTAAATAAATATTTATTGACATGTTTAATTACGCTTATAGGGTATTCTATCAGCAATAATATTATTGAAATTAATCCAATAAATGTGAATTGAATAGTTACATTATTCGGACATAATGGTCTGTTGTAACATATCATATAGAAACTTGATTAGTTATGGATTAATTATTATTTTTATTTAATAGTATGAATTTGTTGTAGTTCTTTCAACTCAAAATTTTAAATTATACATGCAGCAAGTATGTAACTTATATGATTGTGTCTTTTCAGAGCCTCAATGGAACAGAAAACAATTAAAAAATTAATAATTAATTAACAATGCCCATCACAACCTATTTTTATATGATTAATAATTAATTTATCATCATCATCATCATCACTATTGCAACAATGCCCAAATATATATAAATATATATTTTTTTCAAATGTACAAAACCCCTCTGAATTATTACACCATACTTATTGCTCTAACAATATAATATTTATATAGTGTTGTTTTATTCACTGTAGCAGACATTATACATTATAATAAACTCCACCTCTCATCTTTGAATATGCTCACATTGAATAATATATATTAATTAATTTATAATTAATTCATATGGTTGCTTCTATTTCTCTCTCTACTATTTCCTCCTTCAACCTTTCCTCTCTCTTTGTCTTCCTCCTTGGTTTAGATTCTAGGGTTTGGTTTTTTGGTTTCTTGCTGCTTTTGATATGATTATTTGATTATATATATAAATATATTAGGTGATTTTTTATTAGGGTTTCGATTGTTTTTGTTTAATTTTAATTTTCTTGCTTTAATTTGGTGCTTGTAGTACTTTTTTGTTGTATGTAATAATGGCTGGCTTGGACTTGGGATCGGCTTCGCACTTCGCGGCTCAGTTCCACCGGCCGGAGCTTCATCTGCGGCGGCCGCTGCCGGCGGAGGACCACGAATCCAATAGGGATCAATTTTCCGGCGAGAATACGGACGACCACTCATATCCAGGGCTGGACCTGGTCACGAATTCCGACGGCGGGGACGCGTCGGCGCGTCGGCCGCGTGGGCGGCCGCCGGGGTCGAAGAACAAGCCGAAGCCGCCGGTCATAATCACGCGCGAGAGTGCCAACACGCTCCGGGCGCATATACTGGAGGTCAGCGGCGGCTGCGACGTCTTCGAGGCGGTGGCGACCTACGCGCGGCGGCGGCAGCGGGGGATTTGCATCCTGAGCGGCACCGGGACGGTCAACAACGTCAGCCTGCGGCAGCCGGCGGCGGCCGGCGGGGTCGTGGCGCTACACGGCCGGTTCGAGATTCTCTCGCTGTCCGGTTCATTTCTGCCGCCGCCGGCCCCGCCCGGCGCCACCAGCCTCACCATATACCTCGCCGGCGGCCAGGGGCAGGTCGTCGGAGGGAATGTTATGGGAGCTTTGATCGCGTCGGGGCCGGTCATCATCATCGCCGCGTCTTTCACCAACGTCGCCTACGAACGCCTGCCGCTCGACGAGGACGACGGCCTGCAGATGCAGCCGCCGCCGTCTCAGCCGCCCGGCGGTGGCGGTGACGGGGAGGGTCAGTTCCCCGATCCGTCTCTGGGGCTTCCATTCTTCAATTTGCCATTGAATATGCCGAACGGACAGATGCCGGCGATGGACGGCGCGTGGGCGGGGAATACCTCCGGCGGCGGCGGCGGGCGGCAGCAGTTTTAGGAGAAGTAAGGTCAGAACAAATATCAGCCGTAGATTATCTTTTTCTTCAACATCATCGTCTTCACCCAAAAATCGTGTAAATTTAGGTCATTATTGTTACTCCACTTTGCTTTTTTTTTTTTTTTCTCTTTTTTTGGGTTGTGATTTTAAAACAAACATTGCACTTTCATCGTATTTAATTTCCTTCGATTTGTTGGATTTCTTTTGATAAAATTTTTGGGGTTTCGATTGGTTCAATATCATCTGTAGCTCTTCTCAAAACTTTAATCATAAATAAATTAAACATGCATATATTCATAACATCAAAAATTTTAGAAGAAATAAATTATATCTTTATATATATATATGTATGTATTCTGCCCCATAAATCTTGAATTTCTATAATTATAAATCGAGACAGAAGATTAATTAACACATAAAATATTAATTTATGATACATGTTTAATTTAATATAATACAACATATAAATTGATAATATATTCACATTCCACGAACTATTATTGATTTTGGCAAATAAAATATATTCATAAAGATCACCACATGATTTCAAAGTTTTTTTTATGTTGACTAGTGTTAATTAGCATTAATCTGCCCACTAATCATCTCAAATCCAGATATATTCGTTTTATACTTTACTTGTAAAATAAATGTTATATCATTGTTATAACAATTTCTGTAATACACCATTTCCTATAATTATAGTATATAATTTTTATTATAATGCAAGTTTCTTTGGGATTTAATTTCCAAATTTTAGCATTTTAATTCTGTATTTTTTAAATATCTATATATAAATTCTTCTAAATAAATATTGCCTCAAATATTATTTAAATACCAAACCTAAATAAATCTTCCAAACCCAAAAAAAGACACCATTTTATATATAAATCAAAATACAAATGCAGAAATAAACACAAATATAACAGTGATGAAGGTAGAAAATTTGCTTTCTAATATTGATTAAATATGTTTTGCATTAGATTATAGTCTCATTAGGACAATCGAAATTTAAATTAAATTAAAACTAATATGTATTTTATTTATTAATATAGAACCAAACTAACACATGCATTAGAAATATGTATATGCAATAGTTAAATAGTAACGATAAATATGAAATGTAAAAATAAAAAGAGATTAAAACTATATATATATTATAAATTGTATAATTTTTTTGAAGGAAAAAAAAAAAAAAAGGTTGTAGTCTAGCCCATAATTAATACATAAGTTGATTAATTTCCTTATTGGGTATTAGATATTTGAAAATCTTGGTGGCCCATTACATAAGGCCCTTTTAACATTATGGGCCTAAATTGGACAATAATGTTCATAGCATGTTTATTATTTAAAATGCCTATTAATAAACACTTCCATTCATTTAATCAAATCCCCAATTATTTAAAAGGATTTGGGCTATTACTATTTCTTTTCTTAAAATTTTGATTTTTAAGACTTTGTAATTTAATTGTATTGCCCATGTTGTGAGATAGTATATCAAAAACAAATGAAAACATGTAAGACCAATTTTACCTATTAGAGAAATGCGATCCTATGATGATTTTTTATTTTTTATTTTTTTTTCAAAAATTAAATTAAATTTCATTAAACCACTTATCAAATATTGGTAACAATAAAGGGGTTACATTTATAAATTTGAAGGCGTTTAGTACCGATAATGGAATTGAAGAAAAATGGAATTACAGATAAAATGAATTCGGAGACTTTAATTGTTTTGTTTGGTAAACAGATAATTTAATTGAAAATTGTAAAAAAAAAAAAAAAGTGTAGTTATATGAATGGATCGATTTAGAATAAATGACTAATCAGTCAAGAGAAAGTTTTAGCGAATGAAAATTTACAAAAAAAAAATATTTTTGGTCAAATTTTTTGTTTAAATAATAAATCATATACAATATTTTGTAAGATTAAATTTTGGTGTAATTTCATAAGAATTAAATACTTAAATAATACTCCCTCCATCCCAAAAAGTAAATATGTTTTTTGCAAGTGGTTTTAAAAATATTGATATTATATTGAGATATAATAAGAATAAAGTATAAATAACTAAAATAACCTTATTAGTATGTGTGATATAAATGTAATTGTAAGGGTATTTGTAATGTTAGATAGATAGTACAGTTACTAAAAATACTTTGTTATGAGACGGACTAAAATAAAAAAATGGATACTTTGTAATAGGACAGAGGAAATAAAAGTATATAATATTTTGAAAATTAAAATAATTTAATTTTAAAAAATTATAAAAATTAAACAGTAAAAAAAATTTAAAAATAAAAATTAAAATAAATATACTACATGAATATTTAATTATTTACAATTTTCTATATGTGACAAAAAAAATAAAATCATAAATTACCCCCAATTTTTTGACTCAACAAAACAATACAAATGGGATTATTTTTATTTCCCTTACCTTATTTCTCCGTACCAATAACACTCTTGCATTCATTTGAGCACATCTCTAATATTGAGATAGAAAAATTGGGTTTTTTTTTTCTTTTTTTTCCCTTAATACATTCAAATAAATATCATTTGAGAAAAACATAAGAAAATAAGAAATTGAGATTTGATTTATAATAAATCACTACATAGTTAATATTTAATAATATGCATGCATCAATATATGTTGCTGCTCAAAAATATAGTTCGAATATCAAAATTTGAAATTTATAGCTTTAGAATATCAGATTTAAATGTTCGGTAATACTGTTTATAAAAAATATAAGTTGAAGATCAAATTTAGAATGTTAAATTTAAATGTTTTGTTAATATCGTTAAAAATATGACTCAAATATCAAATTTTAAAAATTTAAAATGTTTAATTTAAATTTTCATTAATATCGTTGAGTTAAATTCAAATGATTACTTTTAAATTAGATTCAACTGATCGTTGACATTAATATTTACACGTGGGCACAATAAAATATGAAATTATTACTTATAACGAACATTTTCGATAATACTAAAAAGATTACATAAATATAGTATATAATCTAATAACATTAGTTAGGTTATAATCATCGAAGTCGATTTTGCCAAATATAATTTTTTTTAATATATTTTTTCTTTTGTAACAATGGACACATTTTCTTATTTTAGTTTATTTATAAAAATTGACACATTCTATTTTTGAATAATTTTAATAATTTAAAAATATTTTAATAAATATAAATTAACTTTTTAAACTTTATATTATATAAATCCAACATAAAATTTTCTATATTTGTTTTCTCCATAATAAATAAATATTTTTCTTTTGTTCTCTCAATACTATTTCAATTGACTCCCCCCAAAAAATAATAAACAATATAAAATATTTTTTACAAAAATCAAAAGGTGAAAAAGAATATTTTAATTCTCATTATAAAAAATTTAAAAAAAATCAAATATTCAATTTAAAATAATATATTTTATATTTTTAATACAATTTTTTAATACAATTTTGTGCACCACACATAAAAAAATCAATTCATTTAAAAATATTGCATGAGCAGGGCCAAATGCCACATTTAAAACTTTCCATGTTTTTATAAAATTATCTTATATATTAATTATAAATAAATAAATAAATATTATTTATTTCTATTATATTAAATTTTATTCTTTATAAAATGATATTTCTATTATACATATTTTATTGAGATATAATTTTTAAAATATTTAAAATATTATAAATTTGTTAATCATATATTATCTCCGTCCGACTCTACGGATTTCATTTACTTTTTTAGCGTAGGTATTTGAATATAAATTATTATATCAAAACGTAATACAAATCAAGACAAAATTGCACAAATACTTCAATTAGTGTGTTATATACTAATAGAAGGACATTTGTACAAAAAAAAAAATTATACAAATATAAAAATATTTTTAATATTAAATACAATGACGTAAAATTTAAATGTGACCCTTAGTGGCAAACGAATATTTTAAAATTGTCAATAATACAACTTAGAAAAGATAAATAATAAAATAATATCATAATATATTATCTATAGAATGATATATTATATATATATATATATTAAGGTATGATTTTTAAAATATTTAAACACATTATAAATTTTTTAATCATATATATTAATTTATATTTTAAAATTGTCAATAACACAACTTACAAAATAAAAAATAATAAAACAAATAAATTTATTTTTACTTTCTTTATTAGACCGTGTCTTAAATTTAATCCGTTACTAATTTTGACAAAATTAAATCTTTAACATTTAACTATTATACCTCATTTTAAACTTATTTACTGTAATTGTCACTATTTTTATTAATTCTTAACTATATTTTTATTTTTATCATATTTTTAATAAAATATTAATTTTAAAAATCTTCGCATTAGATCCATAAATATTATTTAAATATTATTTAAAAAATATAATATACGTACATATTGATACAATATATATTTTATGCATTCACAATAAATTTACAATTTAATAAAAGAAAATATTACTCCCTTCATCCCGTGTCTGCTACACCGTAGACACAGTATTTTAGGAGGGGTATAATGAGTAGATAATTAAGAATGTATCAGTGAAAATAATTATTCATTAAGATTAAGATAACTAATTAGTTTAATTAAAATTAAAAAATTTAAAATGAGATTAAAGTGGGTAATCATTTTCCAAAAAATAAAAGTGACATGAAATGTGAGACAGATGAAATATTTTTTATATCACAACGTAATTTTTCATATAAAAAAAAAAAAAAAAAAAAAAAAAAAAAAAAAAACACTTTCATTCATTTAATCAAAACCCCAATTATTTAAAAGGATTTGGACTATTATTATTTTTGAAAATTATAATTTTTAAGACTTTGAAATTTAATTATATTGTCCATGTTTGTGGGATAGTATTATGGTTTTCAAAAATAAAAATCTAAAACGATTTACATATTAAAATGCATGCGATCCTATGATGATTTTTTTTGAAATTAAATTAAATTCTATTAACCATTTATCAAATATTGGTAACAAGAAAGGTGTTACATTGATAAAATTGCATTCATTTGAACACATCTATATTGTGTTGCAACCATCTAATAAATTTCATGACTTTCCATTCTAAAATTTCAACAAAATGCATATATAGTTAGTTGAATATAAGCAATTAATTTCATGATAAAATCTCAACCAAATTGCATTTTCTTTAATAATACAAGGTAAATTAATAAACAATTAAAT